ATAACTGTGCCTATATGTTATCAAGTGTGCACTTTATTCTTATGTCTGTACTGTTCTTTATTTTATTTTATTTTTTGTTTTGTACCAGGAATCAAACTCAAGAACTCATGCTTGCTAGGCAGGCACTGTGCCACTGAGCTATATCCCTGGCCCTGTGTCTGTACTCTGATTGGTCATTTGGCAATAAGTCTTGAGTTCATATGTTTACATAGATGTTTACCTTTAGTCCAAAGGAACAGGCTTGGGTATTTATAAATTCCTGCTTATAATTTATATTACCATTTAACCCACAGCTACTGCAAATGGGTCCTGAGGATCCAATGCATTTTTAAAAATGTGATCCAGAATGAGTATTTTAAAAAGTGCCCATAAGGGTCTGGGGATTTAGCTCAGCGTCACAGTGCCTGCCTGGTAAGTGCGAGGTTATAAGTTTGATTCCCAGTAGCGGGGTAGGGGGGAGACATTGCTTAAAAAGTGCCCATAAAAGTATGGAAAGTTATAGCAGAAATCCTGGGAATGCTGGGCATGATGGCACATGCCTATAATCCCAACACTTGGGAGGCTGAGGCAGGAGGATCACTACAAGTTAAAGGGCCTAGGCTATCTAGTGAGTTCAAGACCAGCCTGAACTGCATAGTGAAACCCTAAAAAAAAAAAAAAAAAAATCCTGGGAATGGACATTCCTGTTATAGAAGAGCCCAGACAACCTAGTGACAAAAGCAAAAGAAAAAGATGTACCATATGCCCCAGGAGTGAGGACAGAAAAAATGCTATTCAATATGATGCTTTGTGATCAGTGCTATAAGAAATTTTATTCTAAGTTTTTTGAAAATTAATTTTTTTATGTTGCAAATACTTATGTATTTACAAATAAAAATTCAGCATAAATGTTTTTTGGTTTTATGAAAAAATTAAATTTATGGGTCCTAAGAACACATGAGTAGTACATATGAAACTAAAACAAGTAACTGTGGGTTAAGTAAAATGTCAATGTTATTTATATTTCACTATATATTAATATTATTTTATAATTCAATCATCTGCCATGTGCTGCAACAGACATACTAAATGTGTCTGGTTGATGACCTTAAGTAGGGCTTATTTTGGGGTAGGGCTTCTATTACAAGCATTCTGAAAAATCATGCTAGGGCCTATTTTCTGATTAAATCTTATTGTCCTGGAAATACAGTACAGTTTTAGCCCAGTGTCTGCGTATAGTAAGTACTACCTAGATTTCTGGTAATGTTATTGTATTAAAAAATTCCTTGCCAGGTGTGGTAGCGCATGCCTGTAATACCAGCACTCAGGAGGCTGAGGCAGGAGGATCGTTGCAAGTTCAAGACCAACCTGGGCTACAAAGTGAGCTCAAGGCCAACCTGAACTGTAAAGCAAGACCCTGCCTCAAAAAGACAAAAAAAAAAAAAAAAATTCCTTAGCCCTTCTGTTTATTTATTTGAGACAGGATTTCACTCGGTAGTTCAGATTGGCCCTCAAGGCAGTCCTTCTGCCTCACCCTCCCAAATCCTGGGATTACAGGCATGTGCCACCATGGCCAGCTCCTTTTCCTAAAATTTGAAGTCACTTTATTTCTAGGCAAATCTATTCTCACAGGCAGGACAGTTTTATAGGATAGTTTTGATAAGGAAGCTGGAATGTTCTCACCCAAGGTTGGATACTCAAGGCCAGTGTATCTGCTCCTTCAGCTGTGCTATATCATTATCATGCAGCATCTAGGGAGGATGCAAAACCCAACAGCATTTAGTGGGGAAGATACTTTCCCTTAAGATTTCTAGAGGAAGCCGCGTGTGGTGGCACATGCCTGTAATCCCAGCACTTGGGAGGCTAAGGCAGAAGGATCACTGCGAGTTCAAGGCCAGCCTAGCCTGTACTACATATTAAGACCCTGTCTCAAAAAGCCAAAAAGAAAGAAAATTTGTAAAGGATGTGAGCACATACAAAACAGCTGCATGTTGAATATATTTCTTTTAATCTGGGACCTTTGTAGCTTCACAAACAAGCCTTTCTTTGTCCTACAAGCATTTTTATGTAAAAACTGTTCCATGAGCACTTTTGAGCTCCTATCATGTGTGTGGCACTGTGTGGGGTATCTGAAAGATAGAAGGATGTATTAGCTTTCCCATCTCTGAGACACAATACCTGACACCTACGATTTAAGGGAAGAAAGTTTAATTTAGCTCAGGGTTTCAGAGGCGTCATTCACAGTAAAAAACCTCACTGGGGAAGGGTGTAACACAGTGTGGTGGATTGACAACTGGTGGTCAACTTGTAACACCCAGCTGAACTGAATCAATGAAGTGCTGGGTGTGGAAGGCCCACCTGAGGATTGTTGCAAACAAAATAAAAAGAACTGGAAAAGAAGTGGTGCTGTTAGGGAGCTGTTAGCTCTCTTGGAGCTGTTAGTTCTCCTGGAGGAGCTTGTCATGTTTGCTTTCTTGATATGAATTTGACTATTCTCATCTTTGGAGGAGCTCAGGACCTTGTTGTCATTGAGAATGGCTGTAGTACTTTTGGGGGAGGTCTGGTTCTTACTTTGAACGTTGCTTCCTGGCTACAGTGCAGATCCCTCAGCCTGCTGGCACAGATCCTTCGTCCTGCTGGCACAGATCCTTTGTCCCGCTGGCACAGACTTTCTAGCTTCTACCTCTGATCTTGGGGGCTTTCCCAGCACACATCCTTGAAACAGGCTTGCATGAGACATTGTTGTGGGCTTTTGACCTCCAGATGGACTTGTGGGGGGCATTGTGATGGGCTCTAGGTCTTTAGCTGGACTTACGCAGGACATTGCCGTGAGGTCCAGGTCCTCAGCTGGATTCTTTTTGTCGTTAGTGTGTGGTCAGATTCCCTGCACTCCTTTGTACTTGACTCTTTGGTTGACTACTACAAAATAAACTTATAATTTATGTGTCTTGTACTAAATTTTTTTCGTTGTAGACCCCGACTGCAGCACACAGCAAAGCTGTTTAGTTTGTGGCAGCCGAGAAGCAGAGCAGGGGAACAATGCTAGAGAGGAAGTGGAGAGGGACCATAGCCTATCCAAAGTCACACCTCCACGACCCACCCAGACACACCCTGCAGCATGCTTTACTAATCTGCAAGGCATTTCTTAATCCAATGAAGTTGGCATATCGCCATTAATGGTTACAGATATATAAAACAATCTTTATAGATGATAAGCAGCGAGGTAGACCTTTGGCAGATGGGAAGGGGATCTAAGGATGGAGGAAGAGGATGGAAAATAAAAAGAACTAAGACATGATATGTATATGTACCAACTCCCCTTGCTGGATGTATTTATTGTGTGTTGCAAACATGTAAAAAAATGTTTTAAGAAACATAAGTTCTGGTAGAGAAGATCGATTATGTGTACTAAACACATATAATTCAAGTAGAAAATGATATATCATTGGAGAAGTCCAGATGACTCTGTTACGGAGATTCAGAAGCAGGAGAGGCCACTGCTGAGTCATTTGAGCCTCCCAGAGCACATGGAAAATGTTCATAAGCCAAGGAGGAAGAAGATATTCAGAGCACCCTTCCTGCACTATTGAGATGCATGGAGAAGTGTCTGTAACACTGAGTGGGTAAGATCCTAGAAGATAGGAACTGGGTTTAGATCAGTGCTTTGCTTCCTTTTTTTTTTTTTTTTTTTTTTTAGACAGGGTCTCGCTATGCAGTTCAGGCTGGCCTTGAGCTCACTTTGTAGCCCAGGCTGGCCTCGAACTCGCAACAATCCTCCTGCCTCAGTTTCCTGAGTGCTGAAATTACAGGTATGCATCACCACACCCAGTTTTTGCTTCCTTCTTGCCACATGATTGGCACATGGTACATACTAGTGAGTAAGTTAGGGCTGTGACTCCACAGAGAAGAACCAGCTGGGTCTCTGTACTACCCTAGCCCCTTTTACTAGACTCACATGCCTCTTTATGCCACTTCTGTAGCATAAGAATGTGAATAAACAGATGATTACAAGGTAAATCCAGATTGTTGGTCTGTTTAGTACAGTACCAGCCAAAGAGAGCTTAATGAACAAGATCGTATAAACGGCAAGGAGGGTCTGTGAGCCTCTTTCCTTGAGCTGAGAGGATGAACCATAAGAGGAGGAAACAGAAGCCTAAGGTCATTAAGCAGTCTTGAGGACCAATAATGGATACTCCTTATGCTCTGGTGTTTATTCTTGTCTCTCCTTTTCTATGGCCCACTCCTCCCCAGCGACATTATTTTTTTTGAGACAGGGTCTCACTGTGTAGTTCAGGCTGACTTTGAATTCACTATGTAGAGGATTTAGCTCAGTGGCACAGCACCTGGCTGGCAAGCACAAGGTCGTGAGTTCGATTCCCAGTACTGAAAAAAAAAATCATTGAATTCACTATGTAGCTCAGGCTGGCCTCAAACTCATGTTAATCCTCTTGCCTCAGCCTCCCAGCTGCTGGGATTATAGGCATGTGCCACCATGCCCAGCTCCAATGACATTTCTTTCTCATCAGTGACCCACCTGGAAGTGGGAAGCTATATCCACCATGCCAGTGAATTACCAAGACCTGCAGCTGCTGCAAAGAAATGAAGTTGGCTCAGTAGATGCATCTTAAAACTGATTTTTGGGGTCCTGCCCTTGTCCAGTCCTGCTCAGGAGCTAGCACTGAAGGGGAGCCCTCAGAGACACACGTGCAATAACCCGTGGAAGAGAGGCCTACATCAGGATCACAGATAGAGCTGTCTCTTGAGGAGATATAAGTACAGGAGATTGAGGACAAAGCCTATTTAATTCATCAAAGGTCTAGATTCCAATGAGTCCTCGCTGCAGATGCAGTTGCCCTCAAAGCAAGGAAGCTGAGGGGAGGGTAGGTGGGTACAACCAGGGAGGGAATAGAGCACAACTGACTGTATTTTTTGTCTTTAGATATGGGATGGTGCAGGACCTCAGGGGCCATACATGCTGCTTTTTCTGGAGACAAGAGTCAAAGCGAGCTTTTACCCTTCTCCAACAGCTCATACTCATACTTGGAGCCCTGCTCTTGCGTTTCATCCTGCCTCTTCAATTTACTGCCACTCCACTGACTCAGGTAAGTGCCTGGAGGGCTTGTCAGGACTCTTTTGCAGCTAAGTGCCATGAGAAACCTGTTAACTCCAAGCCTGGTACCTAAGAGGAAGTTATGACAATTCATTGACTACTGTGGAAGCCTATGTCAACTGGCGCCTGGGGCATATTGGTCCTTTACCATTTTTTAAAAATTTTTTAAATTTTTTAAATTTTTTTTTGTTTTTTTCCTGTACCGGGAACTGAACTCACGACCTTGCACATGCCAGGCAGGCGCTTTTGCTGCTGAGCTAAATTCCCAGCCCCTGGTCCTTTACCATTTACCAAGCACTACCACTTATGTGTGATCTCAGCAATAGCAGGAAGGTCTTGTATTGTGACTTTCACTTTTCCATAAGAGAGTCTGAGTTCTTAGGTTATGGGTCAAAGAGCTAAATGATGGCATTGATACTAGCAATCATTCCTGCCTCCATTATCTCTGAAGGGATGCCATTTGCTCACTGAGGAGGTCACAGTCCTCTACTACCCTAGAATATCCTTTTCTTCGTATCTGTTTCAGCCAGAATCAACTTTCCAACGCAACCCAGTGACTCTCTGTCACCAGACAGGTTAAAGGACTCTCTCACTCTCATGCCCTTGCTAGGTGCCAACTTGTTCCCATGGAGATGGGTCCTACCTAAGATCAAAGGCCCCTCCCCTTGGCTCTGCCAGGTTTGCCCTCACCTAGATAGATTTCCTGGATAGCTGGGATACTTTTGAGAGTTCTGTATCTGGGCTAAGGACCAAGAATAGGAAAGCTGTTCCCCCACTAGGTGAGGAGGAGTTAGCAAAAGTTTGCCTGGTGAGATTGGCGTGGGTAATAATGCTACACCTTACTCTTGACACCCCTGGCAGAGCTCAGGGAACCATGGAGGTATAGGTATAGAGGTGAATGTGACAGGAAAGGGCACAATGAGATACAAGCTCAGGCTAAAGTAGGTCAGAGATCTCCCACCTGCTGGCCTAACTGAAGCCAGAGGCAGTTGGGAAGGCTAGGGCAGGTTTAGGTGAAAGAGGGTAGGGTGAGGACAGGAAGCTGATGATATGCATCCTACGTGCTTTATCCTCCGCTAGCTTGAGGAGACTTGGAGCTGAGTGGTTCTACCCAGGACAGTAGCTGCCTGTCTCCCAGGCAGCACATCTCTTGGTTTGGCAGACTGACTCCCACCCTAGGAGGACCAGCATCCTTTTCCACAGCTCCCTCTCACTGTGGTTCCCCCACCTGCACCCTCCAGCTCTCTCCGGGGGCTGATGACCTCTTCTTCCCACATGCTCCTATACTGGGCTAATTCTGTGTCCTGAGAAGGTCCCCGCTCCACCAACCTGAAGCTCTTTTCAGCACAGAGATGGGACTTTGGGAGGTAGACTGAGTGCCACTGGACAGAGTAAGCAGTTTGGGAGCAACAGATAGGTTTATTTTGGGATCTGTGGGATGCCCAAGATGGTAAGCACAGATTGGCCCCACCTGGGTCCTGTGTGGTGGGTAGGGCTGGCTCAGAGCAAGGACCATAGGCCGTCACCTCAGCACAATTTGCTGACAGCTCCCACTGGTCTGCATGGCCATCCTGCTCATCCTTAGTCTCCTCCTTAGCTCTATTTAGTCATCTCTTCCATCCTACCCTCCCTGCTGCTGTGACAGAGCCCTCTCATTGTATGCAACTATAAAACTGGCTAAAATATACACGGATTGTTATTAGATTTCATCAAAGCAGAGCTGGGCTGGGCGTGGTGGTGCATGCATATATTCCTAGCACTTAGGAGGCTGAGGCAGGAGGATCCCTGGGAGTTTGAGGCTATGCCTGGGCTCCATAGTGAGTTCAAGTCCAGCCTGAACTACATATTAAGACCCTGTCTCCAAAACAAAACAATGGGCAGAACTGACTATTGAGAGAAAAATACTTGAAATGAGCCCTACATTAACTCTGGCCTCAAATCTCTGCCTGGAGACAATTTGCTGACCACAGGATGGAGAGGGAGCCCAAGCAGAATACAACAGTTCTGTTGTGCTGGTCGGGCAGAGCTCAATGATGAGGGCTCCCAAGATGGGTGCAAATGGCAAGACAGAGGGTCAGAGAGATAGGCACTATGCACAGGGAAGATGCCTGGGGTCTGCATGTGGGTTCTCTACCAATCCCTAGCTGAGGGTTGGGCAGCACACATGCATGGTGAGACTATGTGAGGCTAGCAGAGTTGTTGTTGCAGCTGCTACTGCTGCTGCAGGGCTAGGAATGGAGTGGAGAAACTAAAGTTCACACAGCATTGGGAGAGTTTGAGTTCTGGCCTCACCAGAGTGGAAATGCTTCATTAATATCCTGGACATTGGGCTGAGACACCAGTAAGACCGTGCCGTAGGAGAGGACAGTGACTAGAGCAGTCTGGCCCACCACAGGTGGAATATGGTAGTATTTGTTTACATATTATCAATGTCTGATTGTACACCATAGTGATACAGACCAGATAGCCTGAAATTATTTACTATCCAGCTCATTATAGGGATCAGTTCTTTGTTAATGTCTTCTACAGAGTGAGGCCTACTCTCAACCTGGCCTAAAACCAAATCTTAAAAATTGGATTAATGAGGGCTGGGGAAGTAGCTCAGGAGCACAGCCACCACCTATCAAGTGCAAGGTCCTGAGTTCCATTCCTGGCACAACCGGCCATGGTGGTGCACACCTGTAATCCCAGCACTCGGGAGACTGAGGCAGGAGGATCATTGTGAGCTCCAGACCAGCCTGGGCTACAAAGTGATCTCAAAGCGAGCCTGAACTGCATAGTGAGACCCTGTCTCAAAAACAAACAAAAAACAAAACTGAATTGTGTCCTCAATTCCTGGCACAAAAAGCAAAGCAAAACAAAACAAAAAACCCTCAATGTTCCTTAAAAGAAAGTATTATCCAGACAAGTCCAGCATACCACAAAAAATTACTAGTTATTCAAGGAAGGAGAAAAATATGGCCCATAACTAGGAAAAAAGTGGTCAGTGGAAGCATACCCTTAAATGATCCAGATATTGAAATTAGTAGACAGTCCCCTTATAGCAGCTACTCTAGATATGATTAAGGGATTAAGGGAAAATATGGTAGTCCTAACGGGAATCTCCGGAAAGAAATTGAAACTGTGATGATCAAAAAGAAATTCCAGGGGCTGGGGATTTAGCTCAGCGGCACAGCACCTGCCTGGCAAGTGCAAGGTCATGAGTTTGATTCCCGATTCTTGGTAAGGGAAGAAAAACAAACAAACAAACAAACAAACAAACAAAGAAATTCCAGGCTGGGCGTGGTGGCACACACCTGTAGTGCCACCAGTTGGGAGGCTGAGGCAGGAGTATTGCTGTGAGTTTGAGTCCGGACTGGGCTACATAGTGAGTTCAAGGCTTGGCTGAACTACAAAGTAGGACCCTGCCTTCAAAAAAAAAAAATTCCAAATTGGGCCCAGTAACACACCTATAATCTCAGCACCTTGGGAGACTGAGGGAAGAGAATTGCAAGTTCAAGCCCAGCCTAGACAATTTAGCAAGACCTTGGCCCAAAATAAAGAATAAAAGGGGCTAGGCATAGAGCTCAGTGTAAAGACCTTGGGTTCAATAGCCAGTACCCCTCCCCTCTAAAAGAGAGAGAGAGAGAGAAAGAGAAAGAAAGAAAGAAAGAAAGAAAGAAAGAAAGAAAGAAAGAAAGAAAGAAAGAAACAGACCAGTACTGAAAAGGGCAATACCTGAAAATAAAAATCCACTGGATAAGCTTAAAATAAGATTTAAAAAGGGCTTGGCAGAAGAAAGGGCCACTAACAATGGTATTACCTTTTAACATGCTAACAGGAAAAGAATTTCAGCTAAGAGTTCTATATTCAGTGAAAATATCTTTCAAAACAAGGGAAAAATAAAGACTTTTTAGGCCGGGCGTGATGGCACACTCCTATAATCCCAACGCTTGGGAGGCTGAGGCAGGAGGATCGTTGCGAGTTCGAGACCAGCATGGGCTACAAAGTAAGCTCAAGGCCAGCCTGAATTGCAGAGTGAGACCCTGTCTCAAAAAAGACAAAAAAGGGGGCTAGGGATTTAGCTCAGCGGCACAGCGCCTGCCCGGAAAGTGCGAGGTTGTGAGTTCGATTCCCGGTACTGGAAAAAAAAAAAAGACGTTTTTAGAAAGATGAAGGAATTTATTTTCAGCAGTCTTGCACTGTGAGAAATGCTGAAGTTATTCAGGCTGAGAAGAAATTAGGAAACTTAGGTCTGTTGGAAAGAATGAAGAGCCACAGAAATGATAATATCTGAATAAATAGAAGAGAATAGCTTTTTTCTTTTCTCTATTCCCATGGAAGACAAATGACTGTTTACAGCAAAAGTACTGCTAGTGTAAAATATAGTTCATGACATCTGGAGGAGTGAATTCTATAATAATAGTACAAAGTGGAGGAGTAAATAAAATTGTATGATTAAATTCCTTACATTTGTGAAATGTCAAGAAGTACAATTCATCTCTGACAAATTAGTGATGGATATCATAATTTCTAGGTAAAATAAAGAGGTATAGCTAAAAATCAAATAGAAGAAATAAAATATAATACTACTTATATTCTATATATATAATTTGATATATAATTATATCTTGAAAGATATAATTATATATTGAATATGGAATTACTTGTAAACATATTGCTTATAGTCAATTCCTCAAAAGAATGCAGGAAAAAAGCAAAAAAAAATGGGATAAATAGAAAACAAACAACAAAGTAATAAACTTTGTTATAGACTACATTATGTCATTATGTCCCATCCCTCCCCTCAAAATTTTGTATGTTAGGAACTGAGGGTATATAGCTCAATGCTAAACCACATTCTTAGCATGCACAAAGCCCTGGGTTCAATCCCCAGCACCAAAAAAGGAAGAAAAGAAGTATATTAAAATCCTAAAGTATCTCAGAATGTGTCTATATTTGGAGATAGAATCTTACAGAAGTATTAAGTTAAAAATGTGATGAGGTAGACCC